CAGGTATGCCCCTTCTCGCTCTCTCCGCTCTGCCCATGACCTTCTCCTGTCCGCTGCTCACACCCGTACAGCCAACTCACGCTTGCAGGACTTCTCGCTGGTGGCTCCTTTCCTTTGGAATAGCCTGCCTACGACCATCAAGCTCTTCCCTAGTCTTCAATCATTTAAAAAGTGCCTCAAAACCCATCTCTTTAGCAAAGCTTATGGTTTCCCAGAGTAACCTCTACTTCACATACCTGCCCCTTGCTCTCTCCTAAATGGCAGCACTCTATTCTCTCCTCCAGCTCTGCTTAATTCCATCTTGTTTGATTGCTACCTCCTGTCCTGTTGTGTTTTATGCCCCACCTCCTATAGAATTTAAGCTTGTTTGAGCAGGGCCCTCTTCAACCAATTGTTCCAGTAAGTTTTTTGTAATTGTCTCATTTATTGTTAAATCTCCCCCTTTGATAATATTGTAAAGTGCTATGAAATATGCTGGTGCTGTATAAATACCGGTAATAATAATAATGGGAAGCTTCAATGGATACAAAAACCACTACAGCTGGCACCATAGCTGCTCTGTGGTGAGGACCTCTGTAGCCGCATCCTAAATTTGAAGCTACAAAGAACTGGTACTCTACACTTGCGCCAGGTATACTGATCACAACAAAAACTACAGTAAACAGTAAATAAATATACACTAAGAATATATGAAAGGGAGATTACTGGACAGGCCAACTGGCTCTTAAAGTTATAGATATAATATATAAAGCGTTGAAGTGGTTTACGTGTTTCCTAACTGCATTATAACACTCATTCAAGAGACATTTATACAAGGTTGCCGTTAAAAACACAAAAAAATTCAAGAAAAAACTAATTACAAATAGAATATGTACTCAAGAAACAAATGATAGATACAAATAATGATAAATAGCAGCTTAAAAAAAATGGGTTCCAATCTCTAACCAAACTGGATAACAAAAAAATATTTTTTTTAAAGATCGGGTCAAGGTCATAATATGTTGAGTACGTACCAATAATAATTGCAGTTTATTTAGTATTGTGCTTTCTTATGACCAGCACTACAATCCCACAATGGGATTTGCATCATCTTCAAAAAATGTATTTCTAAGCTATTTGCAGAGAAGAATATTGCCAGACTGCAGAAATATCAAACTGCAGAAACAGAAATACATTCCTGTTTTATTACGGTCTTAACAATGCGGAGTAGAGGCTTCTTGTTTCATTGACATAAGTAAGCACATTTGAAATATACTGCAATATAAGGAGTATTAAAACTGCTCAATGTACAGAGTTTGCAAACTACGTGGCTTGCTTAGAAAAAAATAAATAAATAAATAAATAATAAAAATAATAATTAATATATATATATATACACACACACACACACACACACACACAAATACGATGAGTGAAAAGGTCTAACAAATACATCTGGTCTTGCGTCTAAGTAAGAAATGTCAGAGTCTTATATTGTACTTTGCAACAAGAACATGAATAGAATTGATATGCTAAAGGTTGCCATATTTCCTCACGTTAAAGAGACAATCAAAGCACCATAATCACTACAAGTTTTTGCAGTGGTTAAGGTGCCAAGACCTGTACATCATTTAAATCATTCGGTTTCAAAAATCTCCAGGGCCAAAGTCCCTCCTCTCTCAATAACAAAACACACACACATATATATGTGTGTGTGTGTGTGTGTGTGTGTGTGTGTGTGTGTGTATATTGTTATTATATTTTTTTATTTTTATTTTTTTTTAAGTAGGTTAGAGCACAATGAAGCAAAAAAAAAAAAAACTATTTTGATGATGTGAGACTATTTTATATGGAGGGTAAAAAGTATGCTTTTATGATTAGGTTAGGAGTCATCTTAAAACCAGTTTGCACAGTAACAGCTTAAGCAGTGCAAAAATGCAAACCATACAATTTTATGGTCAGCAGTGTGCATATTCACTAAAATCAAACATTAATTCAACATTTTAACGAAATGATAGATGTCCCCCATCTCTTGTGTCTATTGTCAGTTCCCACACTATAATGAACTGTATGTCAACAAAGGCAAAACACTAACTAACAAATATGCTGATTAATGTCTTTTTCCATGCAACATTAAGCCATAAAATAGTTATGATTAACACTGATTGCCAAACTGTTCCGGCAACAGCTTTCTCACAGAAAGAAATCCTAATATTTGTGAATGCTTGTAAAAATAACATGGCTCCATCCGCTGTACTATATTGAAGAAAAGGTTACCTGCTTTAGTTATTTCTTGGAGGCAATAACTATTTTTTTTATTTTGAATATTTTTTTTATTCATCAAATTATTTACAAGTATTTTACTATGTAACAATCTATTTTTATGTGTGTTTTAACAGAAAAGAAAAAAAAAAGGATACATCAACTTCCTTTTCTCGTTATTAGTTTCACCTTGGATGCAATTACTGTGACGTGACATGTCAGTATCACTACACTTCCCAAGATGCTCGGCCAACCTTAGCAGCTTTTTATAAAAAGAAAATACATTTTAAAAAATTAAGAGAGATGACAAGTTTTTTTTTTTGTTTTTTTTTACATTTACAATCTTTATTTTCCATTTTGTAAAAGTGTAACAAAACGTGCATTAAGCATAGAACAAGAGTATAACTGTTTATTGGCATCTACATTGTGTGAGTGCATAAGACTAATGAAGAAAAGAAAGATTAGAATTTCCCATGACAAAGAAATTATGGAACAATAATGGTAACTAGTGGAAGTGCATGATCAACAACCAAACAGGCAATGGACAGAATAGCATCAGTTTATCGATGTTAATGATAGCTTGATGAGTAAATGTACTAAGCTTTAAATCAACACGGGCAGACCTTACATAATGCATAGCTACACTAGCTGGTATTATAGTTTAGGGATCGACCGATTATCGGTTTTACCGATATAATCGGCCGATATTCGGTATTTTCGGCAATATCGGTATCGGCCAATTCAGATACCGATATTACCTCCTAGGACCGCCAGGCTCATTACAAGCCCGGCGGTCCTGGGGGGGAGTGGGCATCAAGCGCTTACTCACCTCCCAGCAGCTCCTCCAGCTCCCCAGTGCAACTCTCGCGAGACCCGCGGCCGTCAGAGCGTTGCCATGGATCACCATGGCAACGCTCCGCGCGACACGCTGGCCGCGAGAGTTGCACTGGGGAGCTGGAGGAGCTGCTGGGAGGTGAGTAAGCACTTGATGCCCGCTCCCCCCCAGCTCAGCCAATACCACTGGACCACCAGGGACTGTCATATCCCCCCTCCCTGGCCAGGTAACAAGCAGGGAGGGGGGACAAAAAATAATAATTAAATATATATATATAAAAAAATAATTTAATAAAAAATTCCCCCTCACACACTCCATTATATACACAGACACTACACAAACACACTGTGTATATAATGCAGTGTGTGTTTGTATAGTGTTTGTTTGTATACAATGCACACAAATACACTGCATTATATACACACACTATACAAACACACACAAACTGCATTATATACACACACTATACAAACACACACAAACTGCATTATATACACACTATACAAACACACTGTGTATATAATGCAGTGTGTGTTTGTGTAGTGTGTGTATATAATGCAGTGTATTTGTGTAGTGTGTGTATATAATGCAGTGTATTTGTGTAGTGTGTGTATATAATGCAGTGTATTTGTGTAGTGTGTGTATATAATGCTGTGTATTTGTGTAGTGTGTGTATATAATGCAGTGTATTTGTGTAGTGTGTTTATATAATTCAGTGTGTGTTTGTGCAGTGTGTATTTGTGCAGTGTGTGTATATAATGCAGTGTGTGTGTTTGTGTAGTGTTTATATAATGCAGTGTTTGTGTGTGTAGTGTGTGTATATAATGCAGTGTGTTTGCATAGTGTGTGTATATAATGCAGTGTATTTGCATAGTGTGTTTATATAATGCACACTACACAAACACACTGCATTATATACACACACTATACAAACACACACTACATTCACTATACACACACTACACAAATACACACACACACTCTGCATTCATTATATACACACACACTTTGCATTTAGTATATACAGCATTCACTTTACGCACACTACCCACACACTACACTAATACACACTGCATCCACTACACACACTAAACAAATACACACTGCATCCACTACACAAACACACATTGCATCCTCCACACACACTACACAAACACACACTGCATCCACAACCCACACACTACACAAACACACACTGCATCCACTACACACACACTACACAAAGACACACACTGCATCCACTACACACACACTACACAAAGACACACACTGCATCCACTACACACACACTACACAAAGACACACACTGCATCCACTACACACACACTACACAAAAACACACACTGCATCCACTACACACACACACACAGCTCCCCTGTCACACTGCATCCACTACACGTGGCATGTATATTTTGTGCATTTACCTTTAGAAATAGTTTTTATTTTCCAAAATGGTAAATGTACAGAATATCGGCAAATTATATTGGCTATCGGCCTGAAAGTTCACAGAATATCGGTATCGGTATCGGCTCTAAAAAATCAATATCGGTCGATCCCTATTATAGTTATTCTAAAAGCCATCCGAATTATAGACTGTTGTTTATGGTCTTGGACAAGAGGTCCAACCAAGGATGAGGTGACAAGCTTTGAACAAATTAAATAAATTAAATGAATTACTTCTTTCTTCTTGGTAAAATAATGTTTTTGTATATATATATATATATATATATATATATATATATCGAAATGTTGATATTATTTTGCCACATATAACACGATTTTGAATTTTGGAATCCAGTGAGTGCTCTCATTTTTGTATTGATATAGATATATATATCTATATCAATACAAAAATGAGAATACTCACTGGACCGAGACCGAGAGGTTGAAACGTTGATCATTTTGTGCAACATATAACATGATTTTGAATTTTGGAATCCAGTGAGTATTCTCATTTTTGTATTGATATATCTATATCAATACAAAAATGAGAATACTCACTGGATTCCAAAATTCAAAATCATGTTATATGTTGCACAAAATGATCAACGTTTCAACCTCTCGGTCTTTACCAAGATCACTCCCCAGTGTTTGCAGGTTCTTGCACTCCGCACTGTCCAGACATTTACGTCAGATACCAGCCTTATGCTCTTTAACAAATTATGCCAATTAACAAAATGCAAAGTGATTGTACATAAAACTCTAAATCAAAACTGCAGTGGTGATTCTTTACCTTCTAAACAGCAAGGTACACTTGCATATACAAGTATCTAGGTAAATAGGTCTTACCACAGGAAATGTTAAAGACATCTAGTGGGAAGCATACAGCTGTGCATGCAATACTTCAAAGTATGCTGTATCGTGCATGCTTGATCATAATTTCTTTGTGGACGTGCTTACCTCCCAGCATTTTAAATGGAGAGAGGGACACTTTAATTTTAGGGGTGTGGCAAGGGGTGAAATACCCCCAGGCACGAGGCTGTTCTGGGCTGTGACTTACTAATAACAATTTATGCAACTAAAATGTAATTTAGAACAAGAACAATGTATCTTATTGACACAGGCAGATTCCTAAACATCAAAGAAATGATATCTTACCTTATCCCAACAAAAGAGAGTTGCACTGTCAGTAACCAAGCTAAAAATTATACAAAATTAAAAATATTCCTTACAATAAAATTATAAAGAATTAGCAAATAGTAAACAGTAAGCAGATACAGACAAGTGTAAAGCAGAAATTTCTGCTAAAATATATATCAAAATCCCCAAAATATTATATTACAACTATAAATTGATATTAATGTGGCTGTCTATTCATTAATAAAAGTCAAAAATTGTCATGGCAAGTCCAAGTCTTGAATGATCAGGGGTTCTCAGTTGTAAATGCATGTAAAAAGATTTAAAAAAAAAACAAAAAACACAAACTAAAATGTTAGTAGTAAAGAAAAAAAATGCAGATTTATTAAATAAATAAAAAAAATACACATTGCATACATTTTAGCTACTTTGTTATTTGGTTACTGCCAGTGCCAGACTTTTGTTGGAATATGGTAATATATTATTTCACTGGAGTCTTATTTTGTCATATGTTATTAGGTTCCCCCTTTTTTTACTGTTTTAATTTACTTTTTGCTGCATTGTCTAGAATCTAGATCAGAGATAGCTACCTTTGGCACCCTAGTTTGTGGAATATGCTCCCAGTTAGTTGCCAGACTGAGAATTTATGTAGATTACAAATAGTTGGCGTACCAAGGCTAGCTATCACTGACCTAGATCATGAATTGCAAAAAAGGGAAGTAAAATCCATACTACTGCATCTCTTTAATGTGAGTAGCCTTCCAAGACTGGGTTTGACCTACAGATGTATCCCCCCCTGGTTCTGCCATATGATTTGTGTCCATATTGCCATGATTAGCGACATTTCTTTCTATGATGCAGTGGAAGAACTTCCACTAGTGCCGCAGGTGCAGATTGCAACCATAAGGGGCCTATTACATGCTGTAGAGGCTACAATCTCAATACATTTCAATGCTGTCACTTACAAGGAACGTCACAAAAATATTATTACCAGGGTCTCATATTACTTTGTTCAGCCTAGAGCACATGGATTTTAGACATCTGCTGTAAGGGGTATGAGCAGAGCAGTAATAACCCTTGATACATTGGGATTATTTTAGCCTTTATAAAAACGGTCAAACAAAAACACTTTTTATAATCATCTATGTTTAAAAGTTCCTAATTTGCTGTATGATGGGTTTTGTTTTTTTTAAGTTTTAGTCAATCATTTAAAAAAAAATTAAGTTTTCATGAAATGCACACCTCTTCTGCACTGCTTGTCATTTAAATGTTCCAAGATTTTCTAAATCTGACCTACACACGTGCCCAAGAAAAAATGGGGATATAAAAACATGACAAGGGGCACAGAGGGATTTTTTGAGACTATGGGAATGTTTGCACCTAAGCTATAATCCTTATACCAGTTAGCACTTTCACCGTCTTTATTGAGAGGTAGAAAAAGAGGAAAGGTAAACTTTGTAAAGCCCAATTTATCAGTTATGAACCATCATGTAATATATTTAGTAAAATGTTAAGTATATATAATAAACCTTCAACAACAACTGTTGACAATCCTTTATTTAATAATCCCCATTCAGTATTTTAAATAAAGTAAGCATGCCTCCCAACAGTCCCATTTTTGTAAAGAGAGTCCTTATTTCGGGGGTCCTGTTGTGCTGTCCAGATTTAGTTCCCTGTTGTCCCCAGATGTGTCCCCCAGACAGCACAGTGTGTGTGCATCATTAGATCTGCTGTGCGGCAGGGAATCGAAACATGCATAAAGCACTTCAGCAGCGCTCCCTGCATGGTACTACCAGTAAGTGGTCAGGCAGAGAAACTCATGTCCATTCAGCAGGCTGTCATGAAATTTCAGTGGGTCCCTTTTCCAGGTGGATCTGTCCATAAAGGGCATTAACAGTGATGCATCCACATAACTGGTGATGCCCCACCCCCCTGTCCCAATTGCATACCACCCAATGTTGGGAGGATTGAGTTAGGATAGCTATGTACCAGAGCTCTAACTGACCTAGATCGATCAAGACTGATGCCTTTTTGGACCCCTGCCAAACTATCCTGGGATTTTTACTTTTTAGTTATTGTGGGGAGAGCAGGAAAAAGTAAAAAGTTTCCCCAAAAATTGTCATTAAAGCATGCTTGCTCTGCACAAGGCTAATGACGAGCCCTTTCTACCCATGCGAGGGTCCTTCTGCAATGGGTGGCTCTGTTTCACAGGCAAAAAAGTCTGTCAACCTGATGACCTGTCCTTTTCCCAAGCATCGCATGTGGATATATACCAACAGTAGGAGATAAACTTTTCTCCTGACCGTGTATCTCTCAGTGGCATGCCCTGCCCCTTACTTGTTTTTAGCCACATTTTAAAAAGCTGGAACCTGCCATTTCCTCTGATCATGACCCAATTCAGTCTTGGAAACATTGCCCTATGACTCTAGTTAGAATTTCATTAACACCTAACAGTACCCCCCTGCATCCCATTAAAAATGATTTTTTTTTTCTTCAAAAGATAAAACAATTTGCATGTCATATCATCTGCTGCCACCCTTTTCACCTTCATAATTAATCTAATTAAATTAGCCCAAAATATAACACAAGGAAGAAACGGAATTGAGGAAATAGGGGTGACATGCACAGCGAAAGAAAAGGTTGCACAAATGAAAATGAATTTGTAAAAGATCTTAGAAGAACTTGTAACCTCGCAGAACGTCTTTGCAGCCATCCTTGGTAGACACTAATTGCCTGTTACACACCATTAAAGATGAAAACGTAAAAATAGAACATATGTTAATATAACAAATTTTCATTGTGTGCTGTATTTGATTAATGCTCAGTTGACCTAAATTGTTTGTGGAATAACTAGTTCAAGGTTATTTATGCCTTATTACATTGCTTTTATGATACCCCCATATTATACATATTTCATGTAGAGCATATAAATATACTCTATAATATATATTATATATAAATACACTCACAAATGTGTAATGTGTGTGTGCGTGCGTATAATATGTGTGTCAAGAATGAGATTGTTTCAAAAGAGGTCTCCTATGTAATCATACAATTTTAAGGGTTAATCCTCAAGGTTTGAGTGGAAATGCATCACCCAGTTAACATATGAGATATTGCAGGTTACTCCAGGCACCCACACAAGTAAGGAGCAATGTGTGCTATGTAGAGTGCTGGTATTGATGTTTACAATATCTCTGATCATTCTGAACCAGCAGCCAGAAAAGGCAAAGGAAGTAATACATAAAAAGTGAAATGTTAAAGGCAAGTAAATTATACCCTAGGTATCTTAGCCCTCCTTTCAGATCCATTTAATAAGCTGTAGAAGTAACATTTGATATGCTTGGCATCATATGATTATATAATTGTCCATGGAATTGCCACAGGTAACATTCTGTTGAAAATCAAAACTCTGTTATTACTCTGGTCCTTCCTTAAAACTAGTTTGTTTAAAGGGTTACTTGAAGTACCATATACTACATATTGCTGAAGTGGTTATGATACCAGTAGTAACCTGATCTTGTTCCTCTGGTAAAGAAGCAAACTGTTTAGCAATGGTTTGCCCTCTTACCTGGGTCCCCACCAGGCTCCTGGTCTCCTCTCGGCACGGGTGGCATGCCAGAAGCTGATCCAGATTACTATCAGCAGATGAATGCAATTTTGAGTGCAAATTTGAATGCAAATTTGCACAGAACGTACATTAGCCTGTCCATAGTCATGTTCTGGACTGGCTAATGATGCCGCAGTTATGCTGCCGAAGGTGAAGTTACACCTTTGACAGCAGAGAGGTTTAAACTCTGTAGATGCAGCATTTCATACTGAAACGCTGCATATACAGACTCCATGCACCATGATCACTTTAAATCACTTAAGTGGTCATGATTCTTAGAGTAAACTTTTAATTATTAAACTTCCAAAAAGAGCAAAAGTAGATGAATATGAATGCCAATATGGCAGGCCAAATCCAGCATATATTAGTACTGAGTTTTTTATTTGTGTTTGTACAGGTTTGGGTGCAGTGTCAGAAAATTTGTCATTTTTATTTTAGCATTTACGAAAGGATAATATTGCCTCTATGGTCCCTTTAAATAATTTCCTCCTGCCATATGATTGTAAATTCGCAGTCTCACTACAAGGTAACAATTCTATACATTCAACAACAGAATCAGAATTATTTTGATTATCACCATTGATAGCACCAGGGTAATGCATCTTGTATCGGAGGACTGGAAAGTGTATTAATGAGCTTCTTGTCAAAACCAAGACTAGTGCACGTTCTTTGTACGATCTCGGGTCAATGTGATAAAAATAAAAAAAATTCTCACAGCATTAGTCTTGTTCTTATATTATAAAAAAAAAAAAAGCACAGAGGGAAAAAAAACCATTATGTTTTGTAGCAGCTTATAAAGCAGACAGAAGTGGACATTTGTTCA